ATAGCCCATGAGAACACGGGCTTGTTCACCGCACGTGATATAGCCTTGAGGAAGTTAAGTGATCTTGGCCACATCATTAGCCATTGCAAACTCGCAGAGAGACCTCCACTCACCTAGTTACCAGAAAAGTCGGAGATGGGAAGTAATTTCTAGTCGGAAACTGTTATTCTCTCTTAGCTTCTGCCGCAGGGTGAATATCAAGTTCGTTTCTGCCAAGGCTAGCGTCCCCAGTTTCTATTACTAGTACATTCGTACATATGCGGTGGGGTTCGCTCGAATGCCAGCAAACTGCACGTTAATTGCAACGGTTAGGTGTATTAAGAATCCGAACTTCGATTTTAGAGGAACCGTTTGCTGCCGTGGCACGCGTTCTGGAAAATCAGATCAAGTTACAGAGAATCAAGGACGGGGCCGTCATTTTAGATCAGAATTGATAACTCGCCGTCGCCCGGTGCCTTGCTATCTTGAAGGTGCTGGACAACTGTTCGGATTTCCGCGCTGGAAGGGGTTGGCTTATTACGGTCGTAGAAGACCTGCGGTAAATGTCCCATAAGCCGCATTCAGGGACGGCAACTCCTAGCAGAGATATTTTCGACATCAGATTGTTATTCGTGCGGCTGACTGCCGCGTTTTTCCGCGGTGAAGCTGGAATGAGAAAGTAGAAATTTTTTGTTGGAAGGCTGAAATTCAGATCTGCTAAAGCTGTTGAAAACATCATGTCTTGCCGGCTCTCTCTGCTTATTTTGACTGAGGATACAGTTCTGCAATTTTGCTCTTCCAGTTGCGCTGTCCTCAGAACCCAGGAATAACTTGGTGAGTGGAGTGCAAGCCTTCGTTTTTCTATCGGCACGCACACCGACAACTGAAGTAAAACTTTGGAGGTGTTCACCCACTGCATATGATTGGATGGATTTTCTGAATATGAAGGTAGCATTTGACTTTATAATATTCTTCCAGCCGGCATATACCCGAGGCTCAGCAGTGTATGGGCACATCAATATTTTCAAACCCTCATCTCCCTTGAGGCTACTGCCCTGTTGCTTGACAGACAAGCGTTGCTTCAAGTCAAAGGTCTGCGTCGTGCGAGAATATGTTCAATAAAATATATACAGTGTCTACTTTGCCAAAAAGTATTCAAATATAGCGACTTCCGGATGTGTGCATGGTATCGCAACAGTTCCATGCTTCATAGAAAAACATTAATCCACACGCGTCCTCCATCTAGAAGGACAAGATCATGAATGGCCCTTCTCGCGTATGTGATTATTGCGCTTGCATCAGCAAAATTTCACGTTCTTCTCACCAAACAGGTTCACTCACCTTACACGGCACTCTGTAAGCGCGTTCAGTGGCCTGTCACTAAGTGTTAGACAGAAGATAAGTCTGACTTATTGGATAGGAGTGGCATCAAAAAAGGTAGCAAGCGTGTAACACCGTGATCACCTTAACATTTTTCACTGAGTGTAATTTAGCTATTGTCAACTTCAAGTAAGCATTTCTACTTAATCTAAATTACAACGGCTCAGACGCTCGGCTGTCCCCCATGTAAAATGCAGGCGCGTTCTTTTATAAGAGCGCGAACGCAACAGATTGCAGAGTTCGCACGTCCATAAAATAGCATGTGGATTCTTCGACAAACTTCATTGCCAGGAGTGCGTCATACCCTTTGGCCGTAGTCAGGTGGAAGAGGAAAGCGACTAAAGGACACGGTCGCATATAGAAGTGAAGTGTAAAACCAGCCCACAACTCTGTCATTGCTCGCCTTTGGACCATGTAGTCAGCTTGAATGTCCTAAAGTAAACTGCTTACTTTAGCATGCTTATGCAGGTCGCCCCAAACGGGCAGAGAAGTCTGCTTAAAGTAGCTTTTTCGGAATTGTCGAAGCAGGGATTTTTTCACGTCAGTCAAATGACCAATTTTCATCCGACAGTTCGCCAAAGAACTATAATAAGTAGAAAAGGTTA